ATATTTTCTGCAAAGAGCGCAATCATTACGCTTTCTGATGTTTCTGAAATGTTATTTGGGGCTGCTGAGGATCTAGTATGTGGTGCCTGAAAAGTAAATTAAAAAAAAAAAACCGAACTGTTGGAATGAGTTCACTAAGCTCGCTATTTTTACTTAGTATTCACTTTTTATTTTATTTCCTTTAATTTACCAGGGTATGGAATGGAATGTGATTAAAAAAGCATGAGATCAGGAGGGACAATGGAAGATCTGATTAATTTCACATTGTATTTGACTATTAGCTCAAGTGCGAAAAACTGCAGGCCACAGTTATCTGTGAATCTGTTAAATTGCATGGGGCTAGTTCGCTACAGTTTTAACCTAAAGAGTTTCTCATCTGCCCAGGAAACAAGACTACAAGATTTGTGAACAAATGGAACATTAATTGGTGTTTAGTTGAAGTCTTCCCCAGCTTCCCCAGCTTGCTATAGTAGGCAAGCACTGTAGTTCCAAGTAGCTCCCCTAGCTGGTAAATTGAACATTCAAACAAGTTAGAGGTAAGGCAAGGTGTGTGTGTGATGGGTTGACAAGCTTCATCCAGGTCTCTACTTAAATTACAGCTTTCCAGACACTTATCCCCTCATTCAGCACTAGGCTCGATATACACGCATGAACATTCCCGAGTTTAAGTTCTTGACTTTTTCCTCCTGCTTATCCAAACCTGCTTGGCTGGTTTCTTGATGTCCTTGGGCGTTACTTGAAATATGTTTATATAGTGGCTGTCTGCTGAGGCCTTGGAACTGCTGGTTTCTGCATATGTATATGAAGAGGAAAGAAGTTTAAATTTATTCTGTTACAAATAAATGCGTTTTTGTCCCGGGAACTAAGATGTTAATGAATTTCATTCAACATATATGAGGTGAGAAAATTTTCTTTCATTAATAAAAAGAGAAGTGGTTCTTGTTCCCATTTCCTCGTAGATGTTAAGGAAATAGAGTATTATTTAGTAGTGCTATGAGATCATAACTTTCCAAAAGTGTTAACGTTTAAGATTACACTAACAGTAATGTCTTTGAATGATCTGGCAATTAATAGAAAAGTATGCATTTATGCATTATGTTGTCCTTCAGTAATATATCCAGGGCATTTATTTAAAAAATGAAAATGATTACAAATAATAAAAATGATTAAAATGTAAATATAAGTCAAAATATAAAAAATAAAAAATGCTGAAAGGCTAACAGAATATTAGAAGATTTATCTGGTATATCTGAAAGAATTGAACAGTTTAAAGACTTATCAAGGCATTGCTCAGACAGCTGGTGAAGCTTAGGATCTGAGCACTAAAATGCCTCTAGGATAAAAAATAGAGAAGGATGTCATGATGTTATAATATCTAATAGATTTTGAAGATTATAACAAAAGAAGCAAGAATTAAACAATTTAAAGACTTATCAAGGCAAGTATCAGACATTGCTCAGACAGCTGGTCAAGTTTAGAATTTAAGCACTAACAATGTTTCTAGGATAAAAAATAGAGAAGGATGTCATGATGTTATAGTATCTCTAGCAGATGTTGAAGATAGTAACAGAAGAAGCAACCTCCGTATCAGAGCTATCAGTTAAAAGGCTGAGAACAGCATAATGGATTACCTAGTAACAAGACTTAACTCTTCCTAGAATTGCATTTGTCTGAAAAGGGCATAGTATGTGCCCATAGAGTTCCAAAGTTCAGACTTGCAAAGTTGAACAAACTATGGGATATTTCAATTAAGTTTTTTATGAATTTACTAGAGATGAAATTATTCAGGAAGCTTGCAAACTGAAGGGAAAGGGGGGAAGGAGGCAATGTTTGGTTTTATCAAGATATTAGCCAAACTATCTTACGAAAAGGATTGCATTTAAGCCTTTTTCAGCATGACAGTAAAGGTTTGATAGAAATGAAGATTTCCACTTAAGCTTATAATATTGCAACCATATGGAGTAGAAACAATTTATACTATTCAGGATAGGAATAAAACCTTGGCAGATTTGAAAAAGACTCCCTCTGGTGCAAGCTCAAAGAACAACCTTGGAAATTAGACCCTGCTGGAAAATGAAGATCACAGATGAAAGAAGATTCTGGCAGACAAAAGGAACAATAATAATAAAATTAATAATAATAACCTCCTCCTCCTCCTCTTTAGAACAAATAAGTAAAAGATCTAATAGAATATTAAAACATTTGCTTGTATTAGGATTAAGTTATATGTGCATGAGATAAGGAGGGAAACAATATGGAAAAAGAACAAACTTAAAGATTCAGTTGATTTATTAATATTTATTATTCATTAAATATTCGTTGTGTGGGGATTGGAATGTGTTAGAGGAGCATAATTAAAAAGAAAAAACATAAGAAATAGATTTAGAAATTAAAGATTTGTAAGCAAATCCTCAAAGGTACATAAATACCTAGAACTGAAAAAACATGTACCTTAAACACCACTTCTATATTCGAAGCAAAAATATTATGATTTTGATAATAGGAACTCTATTAGCAAATAGATTTTAAATATATAGTGATTTATAAAATCAATATAAGATCTTAATGGTCAAATACTTACTTACAATAGTAATAATAGCAGTGTTCAAGATTCTTTGAAGAATTATATATATCTAGAAATTCAACATCAGAGGACATTAAGAATTATACTTTGGAGTTAGCCAGTGTTATCAACCCAAAATATTCAATACATAGATTCATCATTTGCTGAAACAGAATAAATAACAGTGTTCCAAAATTTTGAAAATGGGAAATCACCTGGCCTAGATGGTTTTATCAATGAGTACCATAAAGGGTTCAAGGATATTTTAATTACAGAAGTTTTATACATAGGTAATTTATAACATCAAGGTGAGAATCTTCCTGTTTCTTGGCAAAAATCTACACATTTTAAAGCCAGGAAAAAAATCCACAGTAGGTTACATCATATAGGTCGTCTTCATTATTAAACCCAGAGTATAAATTATACTCAAATTATTGGCTAATCATTTCAAATCAGTTATAGATAGAATATAGATATTCTGATCAGTATAATTATATAGCAGCAGTTAAGATGATGTTACTCCCCAAACTGATGTATCTATTTTAAACTCTTCCAATAAATATTCCTGATAAAATTCTTATAAATTTGCAAAAAATAATATTATTTTGATCTAAATCAATGTACAATAGAATAGAAAGAAAGAGTTTATAGTGACCTCAAGATAAGGGAAGGGAAAAAGGAAAATGGGGCATAACTTGTTTAAGAATAGATTACCAAGCAGCTGAGTTAATATTTTATTCCTTTCATAATAGAACCTCCAACAAAACCGTGGGTCCAGCTGGAAAATATTCAGTTCTTCAGTAACAATATAAACCTATCCTTTTTCTCACATAAAACAAATGAACTCAGTAACTATTTCATACAAGTAGAGTGCTTAATGTGGAAAAAGATTTTCAGCACGCATTCCAAGCCTCTCTCCCTTAACTCCATTGATAGAATACAGTACTCAAATTGAAATCAAGGAAAAGCTACACAATTGAAATTATGGAAAAAAGGCTTTCATCGAATAAAGGATTTTTATAAAAAAGTACTGTAAACAGGATGAACAACTGGAACATAAATTGCCATGGCTTTTGCAGTGTGAGATCAATATTACAAAATAAAAAAATAATGGAGCAAATGTTTGAAATGACTAGCCATCATTTAGCTATTGCATAGTTTCTTGAATGATAGGAATCTAACTTTCTCTTGTACATTACTTGCAATTTAGACTTTATTATCTCTAACATTCTGTTCTCTTATTTATACTCTGTGTTTCAATGGCTTAATTAAAGAATTCCACTTGATTTTTTGTATTAGACTCGAATATGTGAAAAATAAAGTAAAACCTTACTGTGTTTCTTTGGCTATGTAATGATTAAACGTACAGCTTTGTATAGAAGCATAAGTTTCTTAAATAAAATCTAGGTGGTTGCTTTATGAAAAGTAATACCCAAGAGTACTAAGTGTTAATGCAGTCCTAACCCAAAATCTACATTTTTGATCGAAACAGAAAAGTTCAGAGAGATGAAAGAGTTATCTAAGTTGGATCTCAAGATCATTCTAAATATGACAGAAATAAAATAAGCCCTATTTTTTGGAAATAAATTTTCTAAAGTGTAGAAAATACTTAAGTATATGAAAGTGAGCAACAAGCACAAAGGGTTCAACCTAAGCTTAAGAATAAATAGAGGTAGATCGTTACTCAAATCCCTGAATCTAATAGTCCAATGAATATCAGAAGGAAAGAGTGAAGATTGGTAGTCATCCAAGTGCCCCCAAGTCCCTGCTGTGATTTGAGGAAGGAGTTTTTAAATGCCCTCAGAAACAGGAAGCATGAGTTTGGACGGGGTTCCTCAACCTTGGCGACTTGAAGATGTGTGGAC